CAGGCGCTAGTAGTACCACCACCAGACATGCCGGCATTTTAACCGACCGAAAGATGATTAAGAAAAAAAAAATAAAAGTAATACAACAACAATGCACATGGATTTTTTATCAGTAGCTGAAGGTCGTTTGGTTAATCTTCTGATAAACCGGCAAAAAACAAACGTAAACTCCTTCAATACACACAGCAGCATGATGGAATGCATTTCAAATCAGATTTGATAACGGCAACAGCAGCCGCAATAGTAGCAAAATATTTATATATTCATTCATAATTTTGAAATGATGGGAATTATAATGATGGTTACCGTTTTGGAAAGTGGGAGAGGATTAGGTTATTAGTAAGATATATGATTTTATTTCAAATTTGCATAAAAGATTATGTGTTGATTAATAGGGATATTATTAATACATTTGATAATTTTTTTAATATTTTCCAAAGCACGAGAAACACGAAAATATTTATATTTATTTTTCAACTCCCAAAATAAGTATAGATTTTTTGTATATTAAAAATTATATTTTTTAAAGTCGAATATTTGTTCTTACAGCCAACAGAAACAGGAATATTTTGTCATCACCAAAAATATGTGTTGCGAGGTGGGATTTAATCAATCATAACTCGAAATTGAAAATTTCAAACAATTAATCTAACTTGGACACCATGCTATCCACCATATTGTGGAGTGTATATTAAATTTGACATTTCGCTTGCAACATATCGAAATATTCACCAGAGACCCCATATAGTATACATATATTCATGATCAGGATTGAAAATGGGATATATCGGTCCACAAAAATAAAGTTTTGATCCACTGATCCATTTGATCTTGAAATTTTTCTTTTAAGACTACTAGAAAAGTCATACTGGATGTTTATAGAAATCCTTCCTCATTCTTCAAGGACTTCCAAAGCAGTTTTTTTAAATCTACTTTCCTGATATGAGTCACAATTTCAATCCTGATATATGATACGGGAAAAAACTGGAAGCCCACAGTTTTTCAATTATCTGTTCTGGACACCTGATGTGTTTGAGCAATTTCCGAAAGAAAATACCCACTCCAAACTTTAAGCCTGACTTCATTCATCATTCTATTATTAAGTTATATCTAGTTATTATTAAGTTATATCTAGTTAATTTTTATGTTTATGTACTCAATAAATTGAAAATTGAAAATAAAACAAATAAAAAAATAAAAAAAATGTTTTTTATTTATTTATGGACGTCTTAAAAATCTCTTGGTGGGGGTTCTAAATATTAGTTGCTTAGTATTTAATTGTAAAAACACTAACATCACATTTCCATACTGGGTCCCAACAAATTAAAAAAAAACAACAATTTTGTGCATTTTTGGGGCAAATTTCACAAAAATACCAGGCGCCCAGAAAAAACAGCAAGTTGCCCGCCAAAAAAATGTGCAAGAATTCCCGCCAAAAAATTCGAGCGCCTAAAAGTATGCTACAAATTTTGTTTTTTTTTGCGGTCTACTTTCTATTTTATTCTGGGTGCCTGGTATTTTTGTGAAATTTTCCCAAAAATGGACAAACCCAGACGAAACAAAAAATTGTGACGTCATCAAATAAGTAGATGTCGCATGCTTGGCGGCATGTATACTTACCAAATCTGTATCCGTAAATGAAAACAAGCAATATTTTTAAATTCGTTTTGTGTTTAAATTTTTATTAAAGATTCGTTGTAAAATTTATACATACATTTAAGTAAAATTATAAAATATTAATTTTAATAAGTAATTTTCTTAACAACATATCCGAGTTTTCTGGTCTCTATTCTTCCTTGTAGAATTTTATGATTGAGAGAACTGGATAATTTCCAAAATATATATTCATCGTTAAAGGCGGCCCTTGTCATATTTTGAACTTATTTGAAGATCTCTTTCGATTGTCATCATACGGAAATCCGAGGATATACAATTCACAACACCCTGGAATGAAAAATAAAAAATAAATTAAAAAATATATTTTTTAGATAATTTAAAATAAACATGTGCATAATATCGGCCGAATAAATTTTACACTGTGACGGAATAGCTTCAGTTTGGCATTTCTTTGTCGAAATGTGAGTGGGTTATGATTTGTTTTTTGTTTTTTTTTTAATTAAAACTTTGGTTTTCAGTCGAATATTGTTCCAAGATATGGTTTTTATACCCTAGACAACTATGCTGTAAGGATAAGGCTTTGTGTGGACTCAAGACTTTGGAACGCCGCGAAATATTGGTCCTGCAACGCCGCGAAATATTGGTCCTGCAACCACCTTTGTACACCGGTCATATCTCGAATAACTGAGTCGATCTAGACATGTGTGTTCGTCCGTCTGTACATTATAATTTGTAAACAAGGCCACAGTTACGGACCAATCGTCACGAAATTTTGCATGAACGTTCGGTTCAGCTCGTATTGTTTTTGGCAATGATCGGGTAATAAGAATATAGACCAACATTTTATTTTTGTCTGGTCCCTCTAAAATCAGCTCATTTTTGTTGTAATCCTATAAGTCATACAAATGAGCTGAGTTATGATTCCGCAAAATAGTCTGTATTCCACTTGTTTTGACGATGAACTAAACGTGTAATTAACCTTCAAACCCATGACGTTAATGGTTAACATTTTTAATACCACACAACTAAAAACAATTTTGTCACATCTTATCGTTCCCCTTTTTGTAGTTTTTTTTTTTTATTGAAAAGAAACCCCAAAGATGACCTCCTTGATAATGGAAACAATTTTGACGATTTTGTTTTTTATTTTTGGGGATTTGAAATTATTTTTAATTTCCCAAAACCAAGATTTATATGTATGTATGTATATTTTGTTTCAAGTATGTATACGTACTCATATTCCCCCAGCTCGTGTTTATGTCGATGTCCTCATTGATTTCATAACCATTAGACATGATCTTGTCTTATCTCCTCCGATCATTTCATAAGGCATCGAATATTCAGCATTATTTCATTTCTTTTGGATTTTTATTTCTTGTTTTCTTAGACGATCATGATTGTTGGTGTTAATGTTAAACTGACAGACGGGTGTTTGCCTGCTGTAAAGTTAGACATTGATACTCATAAATACACTTTACTGACAGATCGGGTTGAACAGAATAAAAAACTATTAAACTGTGATTTTTTTCTGACGACAATCTATCGATCGACTGGTGTTCAGTTAACGTCAGTCTCTTGAAAAAAAACGCATAAAATAAAATACAATTAAATGAATAAAATAAAATACCAACAGACATATACCCACAGCGGTCTCTAAGGTATATTCGTTGTATATAAGGGATATGTTTTTATCTTTGTAGAGGTAACAAAAGAGGTTGTCAGAATCTTCGGGTTTAAAGTAGATTGGGTAAAATATTACGTATTGCAAATAATGAATTAAATCGATTATTCTATTCGCTACAAAATATAATTTAAAGTCTTGTCAAATATGTTGACCCATTGTGGAGAAGGGATGAGAGGAATGACGGGTACCACCTTCGAAATTGATCTTTCCGTTCATTCCATATGAGATGTACAAGTTTTCAAAATGTTGATACTATAAAGAGTGGACTTATAAGTTCCATCTTCCAACAATATACAGGTTTGGTAAAAATATTAAGTTTTGCGAAGTTTGGTTCAAATCCAATAGTCCGTTCGTTTTATATTACAAAATTAATTTTCAACAAAATGTTGTCCATTTGGTGTGGAACGTACCCTCATTCTAGGCTCAATTCAATGCGATATGACAAATTTCGTGTAAATCAAACAAGGATAGTGCCTACTTTGTTTACATTTAACGAAAAAACGTCGATATATAAAATATGTTTGAACTTTCACATAATGCTGATTTCTTTCTTACATAACATAAATTTATATATATATATATATATAGAATAAAACTTTGGAATTCCCTCTAACCATTTGTGCAAAATTTATGAAAATCGGTTAAGTAGTTGCTGAGATATTTGCATTTGAATATAACGATGTTCCGAAATGTGCCTACGGTTCGGTGCTGGGCGCCTATTACCTAAAAATGAATAACCACACAAAAATTGATTTTTGAAAAGAGGCAATTTTTCTTTAACTATGGCTGCTTTTTGGGTAAAAAAATTATAACATACTTTTAGGCCAAACACAGTATGTATGTAGTCCGTAAAATAACATAAGCTTATATACACACACAGTAGCTATTATAAACAAAAAATGTATTTCCACATCGTTGAATTAAAATGCAAATAACTCAGCGACTACTGAACCGACTTTTATAAATTTTGCAAAAATGGTTTGTGGGAAATCTAAAGTTTATTCCATATTAATGATACATATATAAACTAATGTTATATACGAGCAAATTTGCATTATGTGAAAGTTCAAAAATATTTATTCCATTGTTTGGACCTACATAGAGTACCGTTATTTTCATGGTCCTAAGAGCATTTATCAACTGAAGTGACTGTAGAATTCAAGATTCATGGAGCTTATAAAATGTTTTCCCAAAAAAACATGGAAAATATGTCTTTTAATGTTTAAAACTAATTTTTCCCGAACCATTAATTAAACGGGTGCTTAAATTGTTTTTTTTTCTACTAGCCCATATATTTTGGTTACTCGTCAAGCCTCCGAACTAATTCTAAAGAAGTACCATATTTTTCTGGGTAAGAATTTCTGCTAGAAAACTTTCACAGTGTGACAAACGTCCACAGATTTATGTCGCTGGAAAGTTTCCACTTTATTCAACGACTCACATAAGGGTTAAAAATCAGATATGATAACAGAACAATTATAAACAAACCTCTCAGTATCTACAACACTGGCGGAAGATTAGATCTCTATTCGGTAAGTACTCTGGCCGGCCGTTCTGATCATAACTAAAAAGCGCAAGTTACAGCAAACATTCGATTCAGTACGTTTCCGTTCATTTGTCCCGAACATCACCTGTATGTTTAGCTGGAGAATTAATCAATTTTAAAGGAAGAAATAAAAACCGGCACACAACACCCAAAATGGCTTCTAACAAGGACTTGGTATTTCGTAAGGCTGAGAAAAAGGATTTAAAAGCTGTATTGGAAATGATACAGGTCAGTAGATTGATGAAATAATATTTTTACTAATTTCTTAATGTCTAAAAGAATATTTAATTAAATTAAGTTATTGACTAAAAATAGAACAACAGCTGAGTGCGGCTAGCCATCTGATTCGGCTGACATGTGTTTACACTTAAAGAAATAATGTGTGCAACTTTTGTTGTGTTTCTTCTTGTAGGAATTGGCTGATTTTGAAAAAATGAGCGATGGTCCTGAATTAACAGAAGAAGGTATAAACAATCATATTTATATCACACACAATTGTTAACTAGATTTTTTAAACAATTTTGTAGATCTTTCAAGAGACTCTGGCCTGGACGGGGGACAAGAACATTGTCATATTTATGTATTGGATTTGAATGAAAGCGATAAAGTGTAAGTTCAATAGCGTGATTGAAGTTTAGAAATTAAATTAAGATAAATCTAAGCAAAATAAAACCATGCCTTTGTTTGTAATATTTTGATTCGTCCATAAAATATTTCCTTCCTTCCAGTACCACTATTGGTTATGCCATTTGCTTCTTTGCATATTCCACATGGAAAGGTAAATTCTACTTTTTGGAAGATATCTATGTGAAGCCAGCATATCGTGGCATTGGAGCGGGAGCGCGCATTTTCCGTGAGGTTGCAGCCAAGGCCAAAGAATACAAATGTAAACGTGTCGATTTTCATGTTTTGTCATGGAATCCTGCCTCGAAATTCTATCAAAAATTGGGTGCCATCGATTTAACAGAAGTCGAACAATGGCATATGTATCGTTTGCACGAAGAACAATTGGATACATTATCCAAGGAATTAAAACAATAAATAAGAATTTAAATACATAATCAATATTTTAAGATTTTGGAACATATATAATAGTATATTTAATATATTATAAATATATTTAATAAAAATTATAATAATATTTTATTTTTTTTCCTTTTTGTTTCTCTCAATGAGTTCTAATTGTAGATGATTAACAATAATACTTAATTCGTTATCATTTTTTTGTTTAAGTTAGTTTAAATAAATAGTTTTCAAGTCAAACATACATAGTACATATATGATCCTTCTTCTTATTATTGTTCACCAGCTGTGGCTATGACATGGATTTGCATGGATTTTGTTGAATTGTATAATTGGCCCGGAGGGAATGGATGTACTTTAGAATGAGTATCAGCTTTAGTTTTATTACATGTGATGTATTTCGACAAACGTATGCTAGGCATGGGCAAGAAACCAGTACACAATGGCATAACATCCAGTGAAATAGAATGGCTTCCCACATCTTTCATGGAAATAATACCTAAAGAGCAAAAAGAGATTGGTATATATTTTTTTACATTCGTTTTTTTGTTTTTGTTTTTTTTTTCACACTTACCCGAAGAACGTCCACATACAGCCCAGGAATTTTGATCGGATAGTACTTCATACATTAAATCACTGTACGGATTTTCATGTATTTTGGTTATCTTCAAATTTAAATTGCACACAGATTTCAGACGACGCAGTTCATTTGGTTCCAATTGGGCTTCGATTTTGAACAGCGTTACATAGTCCACCAAATCGAAGGCACAACCAAAATTACGCAGCAAATAGGGTTTATCCACACTCGAATATTTTGTCATGAAATGCACTTTTATTACGGGGAATTCTGTTTCTGTCCCTAATGGCTCCACTTGGATTTCATAAAGAAAAAATACCGTCAGCGTTTTGTAGATTTCCTTTAAAAATGAAAAAGAACAAAACACAGACACAAATTAGAAATCTTCTCCACCCCCTGTGCCATTTTATAATTGAAGTCATTGGATTACACACAATTTTCTGTTGTGTTGGCGGATTCAAATCGATCAAACGTACACCTGGTACATCACATCGCACCCGTGCCTCGGACAAATACAGATGCGCCTCCAAACCCCTAACAATCACTTGCAAAAACTTTTGAGTTCCACAGGTGTGCAAGTGACACGAAGCCTCTATGGCCGGCTGGAATTCAATGGGTATCTGTAATTCATTGCGCGACCAGGGGCAACTCAGTGTAATGTGATGTTCAAGGTGTTTGGTCAATTTGCGTCCCGGCATATCCGTTAAAACTTCCAATGGTATATCACGTTCTTCAAAGGATTTGAAATTCATCAGAGGCACATGCAGTGTGCTTTCAAATGTGGCATCCTCATCGGGATTTTCTTTGTTGGTATCACAATCTTCTTCTTTTGATTGGTTCTGCATGCGTATTCGTAGATTTTTTGAGCATTTTAATGTTATTTTGGCATCTGGGGGAAATATAAAACTACCACCGGAAACATGTAAACGTATGGGTTGTTCTATGCCAGCTATAAGCGTTTTAAAGTGTAGAACTGCCGTGGCCGGTTTGGTGGTGATGTCAAAGGGTAAAACTTTAACCGGCAAGTATTCGGAAAGAAATTCCAATTTAGACATTTGCAAACGTAACTAAGTCGAAAAAAGAAACATAGAATTAAAATCTATTTTAATTATAATTGTGGGTGACTAATTTGTGTACCTGTTTAAACTCCCATTGCCCCACACGTGTACCCTTAGTTTTCAATTCGATTTTATTTGCACCAGGCTGAATAACAATATTCTCCACACAGACTGCATTGCTAAAATCTGACTGAATACTAGGTGACAGTTTACGTTTAGTACTACTTGTCCTCCTCACGGGCTGCTTCGGCTTTGGTGTATCACATGCCACCGAGGCACAATATAATTGTTTGTTTTGTTTCCGATGCAACAGCAACGAGAATTTCTGACGATTGTCTTTGAGATAACCAACCTTTTGTGCTATCGCATTTGGTGTATTCACCTGATTTGGAAGAGGCGCTATATACCGCTCAAAAGACAACTTGATTTCGTCAACTAGAATTTCTCTTGGATATAAACTTTCAAACTGCAACTCCACTCGTATGATGTCATCCTGAATTATTGGTTTTTCGTTCAACACCTGAATGCTGCTAATACGAAAATGATCCTCCAGAATACAAAAGTTGGCATTCTCCAGGGATGGTTGGGCGGATAACACAGAATTGAGAGATTTTAAAGATTTGAGAAATTCATCGAAATAAAACGAACGCACCAACGTTTCAAGTTCTGGACAACAAGAAATGACACTGCATGTTTTGGTGTAGGCCATGGCATCACCCATTTTGCGATAGCAGTTTGCCAATTCAAGCAAAGTTTGAGAACACAAGGATGGCCAGTTTTCTGCCTTCAGCTCCCGCAAGAGATCTGTGAAGAATCCCACCGCCTTATGCGGTTCATTTAAGGCACAATAAAAATTGCCCAGATCTAAACCAACCAAACGTGCTGACCTCAAACGTGATACATGTTTGTAGGTGCTAATAGCCAATTCAGCTAATTCCAAATACAGTTTTTGAAAGGCCTGATTCGAACCCAAGACTTCTTTCAATTGTTCCGGAGCAGATTTGCGTGGCTTACGGGCAGGTGAACGATCCCTTTGCTGTGGGGTGGGATTTAAAAATTGCTGCTGCTGATCAATGGGAGTATCTCCGATGCCAGCTGATAATTGTACCACAATATGTAGTTGAGCTGAAGTGGGTGTACATCCTGGCAGCAAGCCACACAGTTTACCCAATTCGTACAGCTTATCCTTGGCCAGATTCCAAATGGGAGCACAGTGTTGAAAACACGTAAGTTCTTGGTCTTCCATTGGTATTTCACACACCTGTAATACCTCCAGGGCACACACAAATTCCCAACAGGCCAAGGCACCTTCTTGATATTCCAGTTTCACCAATTCAACTTCTCGTAATGTTGAAAACAGAAAAGGCAACAACCGTTTAGCTATGTAGGGTGTATCATTGCTCTGCTGCAACAAATAGGCTTGGCGTTCGAATAAATAGTTGCGGAATTCCAATAACGAAACACCCTCGTTACGCATCTTGTCGCGCAATTCAAAACGATCCTTTCGCCGAAGGCAAATGCCGTGGAAAGAGGTCAGAGGTTTACGAAAATATTCCAACCATTTTTGTTTTTCTCCAAAACTGGAGTTGGTTATGAATTGGGAAAATATGGCATCTAGCTCATCGTACTGAATAAGGGCATCCGTATGCAGTTCCAATTTTTCAAAAACCAATGCCAAATCTTCCTGCATAAAGAAATATTGACGGAAATCCCAACCGTCGTGATTGCGTTTTTCACGTTTGGAACGTATTAATTCTTCATATTTGCCAATATTACGATTATAACTGGCCAGCATTAGGAACCTAAGAAAATAATTGTTTCAAAATAAATGTATTTTATTTGTACGTAATGCTACTTACCTAATACGTTGTACCAGACACCTAAAACTTTCTGTTGATTTTTGTTCAAATTTCGCGGGATTAAGTACCGAAATACAACGATCATCATTCTTGGCACCAAAATCCAGACGAATTTTATCCAACACCGTTGTCCTCTGCAATAGATTTTTGGTCTTTCGCACATCTATTGTCTCAACCAGGAGAATCATCCAATCACTGACATCATAACTGGTCAATAATTTTAACCATTTATCTATTTCCTCATGGGTTGTTTTCTTATAATTGTCAACATCCTGAAAATATCGAATGTTGAATTATCTCTTTTGGAATTTAATCGCTTGTAACTTACATTACATTCCGTCACATAAACATGCAATATGGGATGCTCGACTATACTCCATTCTCCTGTTTTATATTTCTCTAAAAGTTTCACATTGAAGGGCTGAAATTGGGCATCCAGTCGAACATGTTTAGTTGGTCGATGCAGTGTGCGACGCCATTCACATGTGTCCAAGGGTATAGCATTTGAGATTTGGGCCTCCAATGAACGAAATAATGGAGCAGCACCTGTATCTGCAAAGGACAAGTAAACACTTTAACAAAACACTCAGTAATGCCTGGTTGATCTATTATCCGAATAATTACGGAACACCAGTATTTCCCTCCGAAGATAATTATATTTTCTTTGCAAAAACTTACATGTAATAATAGGTTTAAAATTCATTTCGAATGGAAATTATTTTTTCCCCTATTTTTTCACTTTTTTCATGACGACGACAAACAATTGTATGTCCACTGCAATAAATTGACGTTTTATAAACAGCTGACATGTAAACATACACAACAACAAGACAGATCAGCAATTGAATACAATCAACAACTCTTTAAATGTAGTAGTACAATGATATGTCATATATACATAAATACATTAAAAAAAGTTGATAATCGTATTGGCGAACAAACTGTTCAAAATTAAGAGATTTACATTTATAATTCTAGTTTTTTTATTTTATTTTTGAGGTCAAATAAATCTTGGTTTGAATTACAACAATTTTGACATTTATTTGTACCAACAGCTGTGCTGATGTGTGTTTACCTTTTGTGTAAAAACGTCAAATTTATTATGTCAGGGTTTACACATGCAACTTTTGTATGCAACTCTATTGAGTTGTTAGCGTGGTTTTATATTTGTCGGGATCGGGATCGGTGTTGAGAGTTTCTCTCTCTTGAGAGAGTAATTAGAGTTGCGTTATTTTTAATTTTGTAACAAGCGTACTTTTTGTTCACAAAAGGTGCGAATTGACATAAACGTACCAAAACAAAAATTAGATTTTTTTATTATTCTTGAATACATTTAACATATATTATTTATGCAAATAACTGGTATAAATATTGGCCAATATTTATCGATAATTATGATTTATTATCATTTGAAGTAGAATTTCAGGTACCTTTTCGTACTTTTTTGTTCCTACCTGTGGTAATGTTTTCCAACACAATTCACAATTTACCACTGAGAGAGAAACTCTCAACACCGATACCGATCCCGACAAATATAAAACCACGCTTAGGAGAGGGCGTAAAGAAGATTGTAAAGGGGGAAGTAATTCGAATGAGAATCGTAAAGAGGAGCATCAGAGTTGCGTGAAAACAGTTGCAAGTGTAAACCCCGACTTATAGAGTGAAAATATTTTCTTGACGTCGTCATGACGAAAAAATAAAAAGAAATAACTTGTTTTTTTGTTAATTCATTAAACATTTACCACAAAAAAGTATTAAAAACTGGATGGTGTAGCCCCTAACTTGCCGTATTAGCTCAAAATGGAAATGGCAAAAAGTTTATTTGGAAGAGATCATGATGGTTATGTCTCTTCCAAAGAACATACGGTAAATAATCAATTTAGTTCCATAGAAAAAATCTATTTACAAATGTCTTCACTTACAGAAGAAGCTACAAACACTTAATTCGGAGGATGATATAGGTGAAGAGTTGACCACAACAATGGAAGCATTGAGTGTTGTCGATGGTCTGCGACCCAATCCGGGGGGTCCATTTTCAGCCCTTACCCCCTCAATGTGGCCGCAAGAAATTCTGGCAAAACCTGAATCTGATAATGGAAGTGGTCCCAATGATCAGCCAGACTATAGATTTGATGAATTCGGTTTTCGTGTCGAAGAGGAAGATGGCCCCGAACAAAATTCTAACAAACTGCTGAGTATACCATTTGTGGAAGATGCACAACACCGCTTACAGTGGATTGCCCATTTGGAGTTTTCACACAATAAAGAGGCGAATGAATTGACGTGGGAAAATGTGGGTGTAATGTTGCCACGTACTGAAAAATTGCGGAATATGGTAAGAGAGGGTATACCACATTCGTTGCGACCACAGATGTGGATGCGTCTATCGGGGGCATTGTCTAAGAAACAGAAGAGTGAAACCAGCTATCAAGAGATTATCAAGGCTTCGGCAAATGATCAACTGATGACATCGAAACAAATCGAAAAAGATTTGCTGCGCATTTTGCCCACAAATGCATGTTTTAGCAATCCGAATAGTACTGGTATACCAAGGCTAAGAAGGATATTGAGAGGTATGTATTTTTAATTAAATTGAAATTTCTCTTTAAATAAATCTCTATGCTTTAGGTATTGCTTGGCTTTACCCCGATATTGGATATTGCCAGGGTACAGGTGTTATTGCCGCCTGTCTTCTACTCTTTATGGAAGAGGAAAATGCATTTTGGATGATGGCAACCATTGTTGAAGATCTTCTACCAGCCTCATACTACTCATCAACATTGCTGGGTATACAGGCCGATCAACGAGTAATGCAAACCCTTATCGCCAATTATTTGTCTGCGGTTGATGATAGCTTGAAAAAACATGATATTGAACTATCATTGATTACCTTACATTGGTTTCTTACGCTATTCGCCAATGTGGTACATATGAAAATATTGGTGCGCATTTGGGATTGGTTTTTCTATGAGGGTAGTATTGTACTCTTCCAGCTGACATTGGGTATGCTCAAGATGAAAGAAAATGATTTACATAATTTGGAAAATTCAGCTCAAATATTTAATTCACTATCGGATATACCCGGCATGATTGATGATGTTGAAGTAAGTATAACTTAATGGTCAAGTACACAGTGGTTAACATACAGCTCTTTTGGTTGACAAGAAGTGTTTCCAAAGAAAATATTAATACACATTTATTTAAAAAATGAAAAACAAAATGGTTGAGCTACAATGCGATAGTATTTAAAATTCTTTATTGGATAATGTTCAATTAAAAAATATAAATCTCAAGACTATAACATTTTTCTTTATTTCCCTAGGTACTATTTAAACTTGCCTTGGAAGTAGGTGGCTCTCTGAGTCAAACCGTAATTGATACACATAGACGTAGACACCTTGCTTATTTAATGGCAGATCAAGGTGGCCTTGTGGGCAATCCCAACCTAGTGCCCAATTTACCAAAACAGCATTTAGCACGCAGACAAGTCCGCAAATCAAAATCCATACTTGAGACCTTGCTATTCCGCGGTGATAATGGCACAGAAGAGGTGAAAAATAAAAACATCAGACAAACTGAAATTTTGGTTGACTTGCGTGAGGCGATACTTAAAGTGGCTCGCCACTTCATTGCCATTGAACCAAAATTGGCAAATCACATTCAACTAACGGCCGACTACAGTACCCAATCCCATGCTAAGGATCATGAGAATTTTATAAATGTAGCACGAACCCGTAAACGTAGAGCCAAGGCCTTACATGATTTCGAAAGACATGACGATGATGAACTGGGCTTCAGGAAAAACGATATCATAACGATAATAAGTCAAAAAGATGAACATTGTTGGGTTGGTGAATTGAATGGATTGAGAGGTTGGTTTCCAGCTAAATTTGTTGAACTTTTGGATGAACGCAGCAAACAGTATACATCGGCAGGGGATGATGCAATATCAGAAACGGTAACGGATTTGGTTAGGGGCACACTGGCGCCAGCAGTAAAGGCGTTTTTGGAACATGGCATGAAAAGGCCAACATTTTTGGGCGGTCCCATACATCCATGGCTTTTTATTGAGGAAGCTGCCTCCAGGGAGGTGGAAAAAGACTTTGAATCTGTTTATAGCCGTTTGGTATTGTGCAAAACCTATCGTTTGGATGAAGATGGTAAGAATCGAGAAAACAAAAATTGTAATAGGAAATTAGACAATGATATAATATTTATTTGCAGGCAAAGTTCTAACCCCAGAGGAGCTGCTTTATCGCTGTGTCCAATCTATTAATCAATCACATGATGAGGCTCATGCCCAAATGGATGTCAAATTACGTTCGCTCATATGTTTGGGTCTCAACGAACAGGTTTTACACTTGTGGCTAGAAGTTTTATGCTCTTGCCAGGAAATTGTACAAAAATGGTATCACTCCTGGTCGTTTATCTATTCACCGGGATGGGTACAAATTAAATGTGAATTGCGTATATTGGCCCAATTTGCTTTTAATTTAAATCCTGATTGGGAATTGCCACCAAAGCGGGGCAAAGAATCCCAACCGCTTAAAGATGGTGTTCGAGATATGTTGGTGAAACATCATTTATTCTCATGGGATTTGTGAGAGTATGTTTGGCATTCGTTTGTGCTTGTCAAATAATGAGTTTTAATTTTTCGTATATATAAGAAATAATTTTAAAATAGTTCTTATTTCTCTTTCTCTCTCGAACGAAAGAATGACATTCCCGAATTTGTTGTAATTATTATTTTTAGTGAATATTTTTTGTTTCTATTAGTTTGAGATGTATATTAGTGTTAATTGCGATTTTAAAAATCATTTTAAATGTTTTACTTTCAAATGTAATTTGTAGTTGTATCGTGATTAATCGGAAAATCAATTATTAGGAATGTTTTGTTCCCCAACCAAAAAATCGTCGATATCCGACTACATTGTTGTTTTTACCACCGTACATATTTTCCTTACATTTTTAACGTAAATATGTTTTTATTTGCCGATCGCATATTTAAATAGTTATAATTGTTTTTCATTTTTGTTGAATTTGATTTTTGTTTTTTTTACACAACACAAAAAATGTGCATTTATGTTAAATTATACATATTATTAACTTAATATAAAAACAAAAATATCAGCATTGTAAACCACATTGCAGCTTATATTACTATATACAAAAAATAATTATAACGGAATATTTAGATAAACCAATATATGAAATAATCTTCAAATTTGTTTGTAATTTAATCTCAACAAATTATATGCAGTTTGAATTATTCACTTAAGTGCTTCAAAATACTTATATATATATAATGTTCTCTTTTTCCCAATCTATTATTTATTTGTATAACTACCAACACTTTATAAATGTATGTATATGTACCTTAATAATATATAATTAAAAAAAAATAATAATAATTATATTTAAAATATATAAATATATAAAATAAGAAATAATTATAATTTGTTTTCTTAAGCGATTTACCTACCATGGCCCAGTGGTTTTGTAAAGGTCCTTCCTCTACATCAAAAAAAAAATAGTTTTTTATTTAAATAGAAATCATTTTTTTATTATTAAAACTATTATACATTTTCTAAAATATGTATGAAATATTCATTCACCAAATATATATTATTTTTCTTAAAAATATGCAGTATGCAAATTAACTGCCCACCAGACCCAAATAATCATCCATCAATGTGCCAATAGCAAACTAAAAAAAAAATAATTTTTATTTAAAATTCTCACAATGGGGGAATGTAAAACTTACAATGCCAGTGGCGTCAACACGTGTACCCACAATTTTTAAACGAATTTTATCTTCACCTGATATTACAACATCTTCATCCTTTGATTTGTAACAAGGTGGATTACCATTGGGACAAAATTGCATATCGGCAGGAATGGACTGAAATTTAATAACGAAAATAAGAAAAACAATATTAAACGCGGTCACAATGTTATTTCAATCAATAAAAAAATTAACATATATTAAAAATTTATCACAGAGAGTGTTTTTTTTCAAATCCAAAGGAGTTTTATTTTTCCCTGTGATCAAAATTCTTAATCTGACAACCATACGTGAGCTATAACAAAACAATATCCGATTGAATAAACCATTTTTAAACCATTCCGGCAGAGGTAAACACTGAACGCGAGCTATGAATTTGATCGATCGGAAGTTTCCTAGAGGGGTTAGTTCCTCGTACTTCCTCACGACCTTTAGGTACTTCTACATCAATCTGAATTCCTTCTCGCTAATTTTGCTATGGACATTATCTACGTATCGTTGGCAGTAGTAAATTATCCTCAACTGTTGTTACAAAATTTACTGAGGCAACAGTCCGATATTTTATTATAAAATATAAATCAACTTACGTGATGGGAAATAAAGCATGACAATGGACCAATTTCGGCAAACATGCCCACCTGTTTAAAATAACAAGAATAACAATTGAATAACACACCTCTTAAAGTAATTGACTCAAGTCTAGTAAAATCGTTACAACCGGCGATTTTTTATTTTTTTCTCAGCAGATCGACCGAATGAATTTTTAAGTAGTATAACCAAATTTCCCAATATCTGTCCGCAGGGGAAATATTAAGACCCCGCCGGAGGCCACTAAATTTTTCACAAAAATGTCGGTCATAACGTGTTAATTAGACTTGTGTGCAAAATAACAACATATCCCTACCTTATTAATTTGTTTAACAACAGCATCGAGCACCTCACCCTTAAATGGCCGGAAAACAATAGCTTTGTATTTGACCGGATAAACAACAAAACCCTGACCGGGCAAAATTACACCCGATCCGATTTGATCAATTGTTGTTACAGCTATAACAAAACCATATTTGCCTGTACATGTACCCTCAACTTCTGTGTACAGTTTCTGTTTAACAGTTTCCAAGAGTTGCGGTCCGAAGTAACGTGGATGTAGCAGAATTTCATGTTCCAATGAAATCTACAAGAGCGAGAGAGGGGAAATTAATGATGAACAATTTGATCATGTCCAATCCAAGTTGTACTTACATGATAAAACATTGTGCCGATTTAGGTAGTGATTGCCGATTCCCAAGTGTTTACTAACAAAATATTAAACAAAAATCCTTCTCCCAAAGAAGAAACGACTTAAGGCCCAACAGAAATAATCAGAGCCGCTTGGTTGTCAATGTACGCCGCCACGTAAATGGCGCGTAGAGACAACGTCAAACATAGATGGTTAGTGTTGCCACTTTTTTAATATTATTAGATTCATTTAAAATCGTATTTATATTATAATTGTAAATTAATATACATGTTTTGTAAATTATACAAATTATAAATTAATTATACAAATAAAACTCAAATCTATTTAGATAATGTATAATCTTTATAAAAAAAAACATCTAAAAACGATTACGGTTGCCATTGCATCTATTTGACAGAGTGGCATTCTCTCTAACAACTGTCAACAACAAAAACAGCTGTTCCATAACCCAACATACATCGACACAAAATAAACTAATTTGCATTTTGTTAATGCATTTTATAAACAATTCCAGTCGCATTTCCAAATTTATTGCCGCAGCATGAATGACATTAAACGCCTAAAGGATCAACAACGTGGAAAACATCCTGGCTTTGATGCCTACATGGAATGCATGACCAGATCATTGTTTACCGGCTTAGCATCATTTTGTCTTGGTGAGTATTCCGTTTTGTTTGTTGTGAAATTGAAAATTGCATAATTTCATTGAACCTCCATCGATTTTTTAAGGATTTTCCGGTTTTTATTTTGCCCAAAAAATCATACAATCTAAAGTACGTTATCCACAACAATACAATATACTGGCGTCCACATTGGCTGCCACCGTGATAGCCTACGAGGTGACAAGTACAAGAACGAAATCGTGTCAAGCCGCTTGGATGGCGGCAGAGGATAAACATACAATACTTAAAGAAAAGGAATTTTAATGGCAAATAAATATACATATACACACATAAAAAAATAAATTAAAATAATTACAATGCTACTAAAACAATTGGCTACCAGATTATTACCCTTGAGATCGATTCCGATACAACGTGTTTTGTTTAATCGTCATAGCAACAACTACATTCCCATTGCTGGGGTCTTGCAACAATCGTCGGTACGTTTGAAATATACCCAAAATAAAGGTGTCAAGGGTATACGCAATCGTAAAAGCCAATTTGAATCGAATACCAATCAACAAGATGTGGATAGTGAGGAGCAAGAGCACGAGGAATTTGGTCATTCTTTGAATTTGGAAGATAGGTAATAATACAAAAAATACCATAAACCTATAATATTAAATAATAGTAGATTCTGTAGCTTTTAAAATTTCTGAAAAATCCGCCAAACCGATTTCTGACTACATTGGGAAGTAAATTTGAAATCAATCCGTTTGCAAAATATCGAAAAAATCATCAGAGGCCCTTAAAAATATATGTCGATTCTAGCAATATTTAAAATAAAAGTTTTAAATTTAGCAAACACATTACTAATACTCCTAAGATGTTTGCTATTGCGATATATCAATAAATGCTTCTGAAATAGTCCCAATATAACGTTATAGCTCCATTTTTGAATGTTTTAGCCATAATTTCCGACATGATTTGGCACTAAAGATTTTGCATATATATATATATTTAGGCCTATAATTATCGGTTGCTCCTAGGAAGAAATGATAATTGCTCCTCCATTTCATTTCAGTGAATATGATCTAGTGGCCAATGGTGCTATGCGTGTAACACGAAAATCAACTCAACCTCAAAATGTACTCGTAATCCAACCATATGTTAAATGGTCCGTAAAACGTACCTCCAACATTACACCCGAAGATCAAATACAAGAAGCTGAAGCCTTAATACATTCAATTACCAATTGGCGTGTGACCATGTCCATAAAAGTTCCTCTGGAATCACTGGAACGGAAAACATTATTTGGTAAAGGTAAAATGGAAGAGTTAAAGACCATTGTCAATGAATTGCGTTACAATAAAAGTCACCAGCAACAACCACTCACCTGTATATTTGTTAGTAAGGGGACATTAAGTTTTGCACAAAAATCACTTTTGGAAACGACATTCAAATTGCCTGTGATGGATCGTTATTCGGTGGTAATACAAATTTTACGTCTACATGCAACTAGCGCTGAGGCTCGTCTGCAGGTGGCAATGGCTGAAATACCATATATTTGGGGTCAAGCCAAGGATTACAATACATCGAAATCGACAAAACTTGGCTATTCGCTGACAGATACACAACGTGACATTTTGAAAAGTCGCGAGAAGAAATTAAAGGTTGAACTGGAGCGTATAAGGACGCATAGGTAAAATAAATTATTATTATTTTTTATTTTTTAACTTTAATAATAGTTATTTTGTTTATATAGGAAACTTTTACGCAATAAACGCAGACAAAATAACTATCCAATCATTGCCGTTGTGGGCTATACAAATGCTGGCAAAACATCTTTGATTAAGGCCCTGACCCAAGAACAAACCATAGAGCCCAGAGATCAGTTATTTGCCACCCTAGATGTAACAGCCCATGCTGGCAAATTACCATGTAATTTGGAAGTGATTTATATGGACACGGTTGGTTTCATGTCCGATCTACCCACTGGCCTAATTGAATGTTTTGTGGCCACCCTCGAGGATGCAATGTTGGCCGATGTTATTCTACACATACACGATGTATCGCACAATTGTTATGACTCACAAAAACAACACGTTGAACAAACTCTCAAAAGTTTAACAGATAATTTCATTGCATCGGGCGGGGAGGATCAAGTTACGCTGCCAAAAATTATTAATGTTGGTAATAAACTTGATTTGTTGGAGGCCAAGAACAAGAAAATTGACAACTTTGAAGGTTTTCTGGTCTCGGCCAAGCAACAAAACGGTTTAGCGCCCTTACTTGAAGAAATTGAAAATCAAGTTTTGAAAACAACACAACGTAAAAAAATGACAATACGTGTGCCCAATGGTGGACGCGAAATGTCTTGGCTATATAAAAATGCAGCTGTGGTCAAGGTCAGTGCCGATGAAAACGATGCTCAAAATCTGTTAATGAATATTATAATAAAAGAAAGTGTTTTACAACAGTTTAAAAAACAATTTTGCAAATAAATACAATTTATTTAAGATCATTTCATTTCTAAAAATGCTATATTTTTTAAATTGCATTAAACTATACATAATGTGAATTATTCAATAATAATTATAATAAATATAAAAACGCCCTAAAGGAAAATGTTAATATGTTATTTAATTTGTTTTTTTTTATATATAATAAAAACTTTTAAAATTGAAGATAAACACATTATAGCTAAACTATGAATTTTGTTTGTGTACAAATATATTTTTTTAATTTATTTAAAATGCATGTTTGTAGTATTAACTAATGTATTTTTTTAATGGAACTTTATTAAATGCATAGCCAAAATTTGTTTATTACTTATTTAAAACAAAGAGGACTAGTAATAAGGAATGATTTGAATGTGTGTGTGTTTCAAGGAAAATATTTAACAAACTAAATTCACTTAACTAAATTAGTATTTCCAAAATACACAAATGTTATCCAACCTACACGGCTCTGCTATATATATATATTACCACGATAAGACTTTCCGTGTAAAATTACGGAATCAATGGAAAATTCTTACTCACAAAGGCAGTTACCGATTTGATTCAAATTAGGCGGAGACTATCGGACTTCTCCTTCTGAGCCATAAAATATATATTTCAGATAAATATTCTATTTCGAAAGAATTGACGGGAATTTCAACAGAGCGATGGTGGTGGCACCATAATAAATATAATAATAACAACAAAAGAGAAAACACTGTCACCACTTTTACTTAAGAACACTAATTTAAATTTAAATGATTGCATATGAAATGAAACAATGGCATTACCATAACAATAATAAATAACGTACCTAAAATGCGGGCATATGTGAACAATGAATGAAATGACTTTTTAACTTTCTGCAGAAATGAGGTGGATGTGGTATTTGTTGGTGGTGTCTGCTTCAAGTCAGCTAAGAGTTATAACTTTGATGTTATGGCACATTGCCAATACTGTTTAAATGGCATCAGATTACAAAACTGTAGCAGGAAACCTTCCAATTGGGGCAAGGATTTACTGGGAGATATTTTAAAATTACCCGTTTCACGGTTGCGCAATAAATACGAACTTTGTACAAGGGAATGTAGGGCGATATTTAAATTATCCAAGGCCAGACAATAGGGATGGACATGTAATGGACTGGTATTTGTTAATAGCATTGATTCAATGTGTTTTTGTACACTTTTCAATATGTCTTTGGGGGCAAATTCTTCATCGTCATTTTCGATAGAAAGCTGTAAGTGAACACACAAGTAAATACAAAATACATAATAAATATCAAAAATAAATTAAAACAAACCTTATTCAAGATAACAACAAGTTGATAATAAAGACACAGGAATGGTGCCAAGGCTGAGAGAATACTGCGGCTACATTCGTTATGTCGAACTTCTACCAAACCCATTTGAGATATTTGCAATACTCCATGATCTTTTAAAAATTTCAAATTATGTTCAAATTCCTAAAAAAGGAAAATAAAAAAATTCATTATTCTTCTTCTTAAACTTCAACAACAACAAAAATATCCATACCTCCAATTCACGATTAGATTCCACAATAAATTCATGTTTAAATACTTCATCCAAAGCATCAACTTGTTGTGATAATCTCAATATGGTTTCTTCATATGATCCCGAATTTTGTTTATTCGATTTTTGTTGTTCTTCCTCCAAGTGTAGAGCGGCCATAATTAAATAACCCGGCCTGGCAAGCCAAAATAAACATGGATTCATATACAATTGTAATGCCATACTGGGCACAGCCACAGCCATGGTACGTGGTGATAAGGCATGAGCTTTTAAACGACTCACATCAATTTCCTGAGCCAATAATTCCACCGGCACCTGTGAAAATTCTAGGCGGCCTTGTTTTAAATGTATAATATTTGAGTGGATTTCAACTGTTTCAATTATTTCAGGTTTTATGCTATTAACATTTGTGGCAACATGCGCGCCAAGTTTTTCAAACATATCTTTTAATAAGATAATGCCACGAGAGATTTCGTCAATATTTAACGATTTATCCATATAATATTGGCTGGCAAAGTACAGGCTAATCATGTTGAAGGTGTTTATAACAATGCGTCGTTGTTGTTGGTAAATAATCTAAAAGGGATTTTTTGAATATGTTAGATTGAATCGTTTGATTTTGATTGTATCGATTCCAACTTACCTCTGTGGCCAATTTCTTAACCAAATCAATTTCCTTTTTATTTAATTTTTGCAAATGTGTACCCAACGTGGCCCTTTTCATTTTGTCCAAATTACAGCAATCACCAAAGAATTCCTTGACCGATATTGGTTCACCAAAATCCAAATACATTTTCCCAAAATTCTCATCGATTATTTTTAAGGCCTTAAAGAAACCCTTTGTGGATTCTTTGGGTTTTGGCACACCCAACAATTCGTATACAAATAATTGTTCTTCCAAAACACGTTCATAGGAAACACTAACTGGAACAATTGTAATATCTGATACCTCTCCTGTGAAGAAGGGTTGTAGGGCCATTGAAAGTAGACCAATTTTAGGTACTAAGGCCTTAAAATTACGACTTCTTGTACCCTCAATAAAGAACTCAACACCTATGTGATAGGAACCCACTAAGGCATACATATATTCACGGAAAATATCCCAATAGAGTTCATCATTTGAAAAAGAGCGACGCATGAAAAAGGCACCAGTTTTTCGTAGCATTGTGCCCATGGCAAACATAGAATGGAAATCTATAAAAAAATAATTTGATTAGTGAACATTTATTTACATTTGTGTTCTAAAGAAAACCTACCCATTCCAGCTGCAATTCCTGGTATCTCAATGTCATAATGAAAACAAATATAAGACATCAATATAAAGTCCATATAACTTCGATGACTGGGTAAATATAGTACTGGATTTTTACCCAAACCCTTTTTCAAATTCTCCATACTGGCCTTATTCACATAGATGCCTTTACAAATCCGTTTACCAATTGCCGTTATGGCTATGCCACACCAACGTATTATGGCCAAGTTTCGATCCAAACCAATTTCATCTAATATCTCGGAGACCATACGTTGCACCTGTTTGGCTGGACAATTTTGTTTATCCGCATAGTAATCAATTAGCTGGCGTATTCTTTCACTTTGCAGAACATGTTTTTTAAGTTTTATTGGATCTAAATTCTTTTCCAATTTAAATGCTACCAATGGATTGTATTCTTTGGTCATAACTGGTTCTTTACCAGGTTCTAGGATATTTTCAAAATTCCGCATATAATTTCCATTATTGTTTCCAGCCATTGTGTTTTTCGTTTGCGGGGGGTATTTGTTTAACTGGAATTAAAGAAATACTGTAAAGAATGTTTTCTAATATGCTTGGTACTACTGTTTCCAAGTAGGCATGTAATAAATTTTATTTTTTTGACAGTAATTCACATTTAACTACTTTTCATATCTGCTAATGGTAATCTTATCAAAATGACAATTTCAACGCCAAATGGCGTTACTCATTTAAAAACCAGATAGTTTTTGCATATGTATCGATTGTGTGTAATTTCAGCAAGAAAAACAAACTACTATGACTGTTTTTGTTAGATTAAGTTTGGTGCTTGTCATCCCAATCAGACCGATCAGACCTTTTTTACCTTTGAAATCTGCGGATAAGGCCTTCGAAGTATCTAAAATAAAGTTTAACCGTTAAATGTTGGCTAATAACAATGAGGATTAATATAATGAGGATTAATTCCTTCTGAAATGTAGGATGGCTACCCCTAAGGGGTTCAAAATACGGAATGTGGAAGAAAATATCCTCAGAAGGCCCGAAATACAAATTTTCTGCTGTTGTTTGTAGTAGACATACTGTTTTCGAAGTCAACTGCTATTTTGCCCTCCAAAGACCCCAGAATATCCAAAGACGCCGTTTATGGGAAGGAGTGGACCGAAAGATTCCATATTCGAACATTACATAGGATTAGTAAACATACTATGTTATGTCAATTTTGGGTCTATTCTATACTCATGATTTCATTGATTGTATATTTTAATGTATTAAATATTTTGGGAGAGATTTATCGTGCACCAGCAGGACGGACATATCAAAATCAACACCAAATTGACTAAAACGTTTAAAGAATGTATTTACCTCTTGGTTTATCATATAAAATCGGGTGATGCTGTTATATGAGGGTTATACCATAACTTGTATAACATGAACAGACATGCCAACTTTTCAATACAAATAATTTTTCAAATTATATTATCTGTTTCCAAGAGTATGCAAATTAAAGCATCTTTTAAATGGAATAAATACTAATTTGTTATAGAGACCTGACTGTATAGCTAAATTATTGGAAAAGCAATATGTTAATGTTTTTGTGAAATAGAAGACCCCGAAAGCAAAGTGAAATGCAAATTTTAAAAAAATATACAAAATATACACTTCATTGGAAACATAATAATGATGTTCTTCGTCGTCGTGGTAATATGTAAATTGTCGATTTGCAAAAATTAACTTCAACACATTTGATGCGTTCATCCATTCATATTAAATATTGTTTTTGTTTGTATTTAGCAAACGCTGGTTTTGTTAATTCTAAATAAATATTGTAAATATTTACAATTCCCCAACACTCAAAACACAAACAAATAAATCCGGTTTAAAAAGTAATTCCTTAACTTGGTTAGGAAGACGATAAGTCAATTAACATTTTCAAAAAGTTGACAGCCGCAACATTGGGTAAGAGAGTGAGCCGGGGGAGAAAGTTGAAGAGAAAATAGTGAGCAAGCATAAACAAACACAGAAAGAGAATTTTTCTACAATCAGCCAGCCACCCAGTCAACTAACCACCACCACCCCCTCCATTCACATGTTTACATACACAGAGTAATGCTGGTAGTTGAAAAATTTATCAATATTTAACTGGAATACTTTCAATTATTAAAAACAACACAACACCTTTTAAATTATGTATCTTAAATAATACAAAAACAGCTCACAAATATTGTTGTTTACAGTGATTTGACATAAAAAAACCCAATATGTTGTTTTACAACATGATTTTTTGGCAATTTTTGCTATTCATTCATCGATTTTTCAAGCCATATTCACTTATAAAACATTCTTCTTAAATGATGACATTACAAGATATATTTTAAACTTCACATTTATTTATTTTGAAGACACGTAAACTATTTGTTTTTTTTTTTTCTATTATTTGTTTTATTACCTTGTAATTTAAAAGTATTTTAAAAATATAATATTTCTTATTTTTCTTCTTTCCAATAAATTCTTGCGTGAAACGTCTGTGCGCTTGCAAAAAAAATATTACAAATACTAACGTTTCCACAACTAACCATTGCTGGGTGTCTATTAAGAGAAAGGGAGAGAGAGAAATTGCGGTATATTGCCATATGAATAAAAAAGATGTTGTTTTGGCGGGGAAACGTATAGAAAATGCAACTAAAAATTTGTTTATAATAATTACAGTTTTGTAAATAGGGGCATAATACATTTAATGCATACAAATTTTCTTTAAATATCCAGTTCCTTACGAGACTTTTATCTTCTAAGAGTTAATGATTGAATGTTACGGAGAACGAGAGACCGAGATTTGAATTATTTGACGTTTCACGGGTTTTTTAATGAAATATTAATTTTTTGTAGTTTTTATAATTAAAATATACCATTATAATGTAATATGTAGTGAACATTTATAAAATAATTAATAAAACGTATTAAAATAAATAAAAAACAATTGGGCATCTAAATGTACGGGGCAGTCATCAGCTGTTGGTCTAATGTTAACATTTCTCATTACATTGCTCTCTATAGATAAAGAAGAAGCTCAAAACATGCACAGATGTCAAAGGTGTTGTGTTGCGACACGAAAACACACAGTTTGCGGGAGTTTTGGAGATCCAGATGATACAACTGTTGGTTGCCTGTTAATGGGAATATTATAAAGTCTAAATTATTAATAAACGCCTTAACTGATGACTTAAAAATGTATATGCGCAACAAATTCTTTCGCAGCTGCATTGCTGTACTCCCAAGAAGTTATGGCACCAATAAAAAAGCCCATGCATCATTAGATATGGCAGAGGAGGTGGGTGCCAGTTTCTTTGCCAAGAATATAGGTAAACTACTTACATAGATATATGTACATATAAATTAATTAAAATTTAATATTCCTATTTTCATTCAGGTTCCAATTACTGGAAATGGCACGCCGTACTAAGTAAACATCCCGAATTAAAAACGTTGAAAAGCAAAGATATTCTTAACTCTGCCAAAGCCTTGAACAAACTTGAATTTTCCGTTGATGATATCCTTACGAGACCAATGATTTTATACACAAATGAAATGACATTGGAAAATCGTTATGTTGTATTAAAAGAATGCGGTTTTGTGGAAATAACAATTCCCTTGCTATCGAAATTCGTTGCTGCCATGAATCGTAGTGTTGTATCATTGAAATCATATAGATATATATCTTATGATACCGATGTCATTGAACGACTACGTACAACATTCAACGATATTGATGTCAAATTGTTAAATGATTCTGAATGCAATGAAAGCTTGGAATTGAAATTTCTAAGGCAACGCATACTAAATTGTTATCTTAAACAAAGATTGGGTGCATCTGCCGCAGATATTGAGAAGATTTGGAAAACATATGGACGTTTACGTCACAAAAGTTTTGCTTCCGTTCAAAATATCATAGAAGTTCTTACAAAGGATTTGAACTTTTCCTATGAACGTATCATAAAAAATGCCTTCCTGCTGTATGCCGATGCGGAGAATGTGAAACGTATCCTAACTGAAGTGCCAACTATCGATAATCAGGATATAAAAGAATTATTATTTAAAAGGCCAAAAATCATGATGACTTCATGCGATGCTCTACAGACCACCATGCAACACATTAAAGATTTTGGTATTCCAGAAGGCGCCATATTAAGATGTTTGGAAATATTGACACTGGGACCTGACACGGTATTGGAACGTCTAAAGGATTTAAATGAAATTGAAGAGTTTAAAGTTCTTAGCTCAAATCCAAGAGTGCTGCGTTTGGTACATTATCAAAATAAAGCCCGACTGAGGTTGGATTATTTAAATCAATTGAAAGTACGATGTGCCTCACTGCATATATTATCCTGTAGTTCAGAGGCATTTGCAAGGTAATTTAAAAAATTTATGCTGTAACTCAAAATATGAAGTACTATTTTAAAATTATTATAGATTTGCCCGCGATGGATCTGACAAAACCAAAGGCCGCGATGTTGTTGTCTATTTGTCAAATGTTATGAATAAAACCGAAAGCGATTTGCGTAGCTTATTATCCAGACATCCGAATTGGTGTCACATACCAGCCATACAAGTCAAACAATGCTATGAGTTTTTAATAGAAAATCATTTTGCCACTGAAGATATATACAATAATATACACGTGTTGTTGTATCCAATGTAAGTGTTCTACTCAAACACCAGACTTTTTTTATTTTATTCTATTATTTTTACAGAAAACGTATTGAGGAAAAGTTGAAGCAATTTGAAAACACCGATTTCCTCAAAGAAATCAAATCCATTGAAAACTCCAATGAACTAACAACAAATGAAATGCTCACATTAGTTTTATATTTAATAGAAAGTGAATTTCATTTTACCGGAGATGGTATTTGGACAGAACAGCATACTCAGCATGTGGAAAACTTTAATAATTTGTTACCTGATTTCCCGGAAAGTCTTAATAACATCTATAAGTATGGTCTTAAATCTGCGTCAACATCAATATCAGCCAAAAAGGAATCGAAAGATTCATTTAAAGAATATGTTTTTAATTGAAAGCCATTTTGTATATATAAATGTTATTTTCTTAGTTTAATAATTAGTTAAGTGTAATATAATGTTTAAATTTGAATAAAAGAAATTGTTATAAAATGGGAGAAAACATGATTTCCTAGAAATAAGAATTATGCAACATTGAACGTCTATGTTCCAATTTATGTTTTCATAAAAAAATAATTCAAATAACATATATTTTACATAGGGGGACATTTTAAAATCTCATATCGAAAATCACACATATTATCATAACAAACTTTATAAAAATTAGCCCATCTCGTTACCTTGTAATCAAAAATACAAATTTGTCCGCTTTTTAATTTTTATTTATATTTCCTTTAATTTTTCATTGAGTGTTCTACTATCTATTTTTCAGTTTCATTCACATCTGTTTCGTGTTCATGTCGCACCGTTATGGCTTTGTGTTTAATGGAACAATTCTTTAATTTATCCAATATTTCCTTATAAGCTGGAGATATTGGCTTCTGTACAACCTCCCGGTATGTGTATTCCGAATCGTCATCCAACTAAAAAATAAACCAAAGTAAATAATATCCAAAATAAATATAATTAACCATACTTACATTTAAACTATACGACATATCCGAATCGAAACCTCTTAAATCTCCACACACCACAAATGGTATCAATGTGCGATTCACTTCAGAATCGGTGGCATTCTGAATGACTTGAACATCGTCTATCATGGGATTAATCATTTGTGGTATATAACCATCGGGACAACGATAATTTTGACACACTACAAATGCTTCAATACTAGAATTTCTAGAACTAGCCGGTTTAGCAATTGATACCTTTTCAAAAAATATTCTCAACTGAGAATATAAAAGGCTTGTATCTTTGCCCCTAAATATTTTAGCAACAAAATTTCCACCAGGCATTAGAACGTGGGTCGTTATACTCAAGGCCGCCAACAACAATTGACTTTGTATATACTCATCAATATCATGGAGACCGGTTACATCTGGAGCTGTAATTTCGAGATAGTTCTTGTATTTGTAGTTTTAACTAATATATCGTATCTTACCTCCATCACATATAACCAATTGAGCCTTTTGATCTTCTCCACCGAAATGATCAATAATGGTTTTGGCGGTTTGAATTTTTGTAATGTCTCCCTGGATTTGTATGATACCATTTAAGGGAGCCATGGCCTGCAAATCCACAGCGATGATTTTCACGTTATCCTTATCCTTACTGTTTTCATATAAACGTTTAGAAAGCACCTGGGACCAGCTACCAGGAGCGGCACATAAATCAACCGCTCTTGTGACTCCTAGGAATTAATAAAATTATAGTTATTGAAGTAGTGGTTGAATATTTAGACCGTAGACAGAATTTTTGGCCAGAAAATCTTGTTTCCAACATCACTGAAACTTACCATCTAAAATATGAAACTGTTCGTCTATTTGCAATAATTTGAAAGCACTTCTGGCACGCCATCCTTCCTCTTTGGCCAGACGGTAGTATATATCACGTTTATCCTTGGAAGTCTTGCCCATATTTTATTCCTAGTAAAATATTCCCAAATGACTGATTCTCCAAATGATGGACGTCGATTAACAAGAGAGAGATATGAAGCTCTCTTTATAATAAACAGAGATGCCAGAGTATAGACAAATGACAAACAGACAAAATATTCACCATTCACTTTTTAATATTTGGTTAATATAACAAATGAAAATAAATGAAAATAATATGTATTTTTTACTTAGTAATATTATTATAAATTTAATAAAAAAACAAATAAGGAATAAAGAAAATATAAAAAAGAACTTTCACTTTACTTAGATTTCTCTTGATTTTAACAAATCATAATTTCTTACAGAGTGGCATCTCTCTCCAAGTAAACAAAGTAATTTCGCTCTCTCTCACTTGCTGTCAAAACATACACGTGTATTCAGTTTATTTTTCATAAACATCGGGAATTACAAACAATAAGCATGTCTCTGCTAAGAATAAGGTATTTCTTTAATTAAACAAATTATTTTTTAAATAAATTATACAATAATGGCATTTTTATCATTCAAGGAAACCTAAAACCCGCAAGGGTAAAAAGGTATTAATGGCCCGTGAGCCACAATTGATTGAAGGTCCCCGTAATATGCTGTTCTTGGATGGTCGAAAATGTGGCGGTGATGTCAAGTCGTGTATGAAAGATATACAACAACTGAAGAAACCTTTGGTAAAGGTACTGAACCGAAACAATGATATTACACCTTTTGAGGATCCAACTTCCTTGGAATTGTAAGTAACGTGTTAAATAAAAAATTGTTTCTCAATTTATTGAAAATTGCTTTATTTTTCAGTTTGACCCAGAAAAATGACTGTGCCATGTTTGCATTCGGTTCCACATCCAAAAAACGTCCAAACAATTTAGTATTGGGTCGCATTTATGAAAATGAAATCCTCGATATGGTCGAATTGGGCATTAAACGTTATCAGGCAATGTCCGAATTTAAAACAGAAAAAATCGGCACCTGTGTTAAACCCTGCTTGGTATTTAATGGTCCCAAATGGTCACAATCCGAAGAGCTAAGACGTCTAAAGAATCTTCTAATTGATGCCTTCCAAAAGGATAAAGTTGAAGCCATTCGTTTGCAAGGCATTGAACATGTTATGAGTTTTACATGCACCGAGGATTTAAATATTCTCCTGCGTTCCTATAAAATCTTACTGAAAAAATCTGGACAAAGAACACCACGCATTGAATTGGTTGAAATTGGACCCTCAGCTGATTTCTCCATTAGACGCACCAAAATTGCCTCCGAAGATCTATATAAACAGGCGCGCAAACAACCCAAACAACTTAAGGTTACCAAGAAGAAGAACATTACTCGTGATGAATTGGGCAATACCCATGGTCGTATACATTTGGGTAAACAAGAATTGGGCAAGATCCAAACACGTCGTGTTAAGGGTCTTAAGAAATCACCCGAAGAGAAAAAGGCTGACCGTCAAAAGAAGAAGGAACTGATGAAGGCTGCTGCCCAAGAATTACTAACAAATAATGAATAGATTGATATAAGCTATGTAAGAGAAAACAATTTATGTGTAAGTTTTAATAAAATAAATATATTTTTATTTACATGTCTAAATATACAATGTTGTTGTGGTTTGTTTAATGTATTGCTGCTACTATATTTCGAATACGTCGTGATCTAGATTCCATAAGGGCCTCCTCCAATGATTGTATCATATACACCAATGAACTTAGATCCGTTTGTATGAGTAAATCTTTTCGATTTCTTTTTTCATCTTCATGTATATCTTCGTTGGGATTGCGTGAATCATCGAGGAGATCACGATTTTCATTTTTTGGTTCTGTATGTAAATACAATTTCATGGTTACAAATACCTGACTTTGTTTCATCAACGCTCTAGATGCCAGCCGGACTTCAAGTCGCCATTCGAGATTGACCAAACGATAAGCTCTTATATTGGCCGATTTTATTGATCCCTCTATGAATTTCTTTTTGCTAGTAACAAATTGTGCTAGAATATCGGTCACTTCCTCTTTATAGCCCTCCAATTGCATTAAAGGTTTCTTGACGCTATTTATATCAGCATTACATTTTGTTGCTTCAATGAGTATTGATATCAGGGCCTCCACAGCTTGTTGAACTTCTTGGGGCGTCAGGCTGTATTTCTTGCCTATTGCCTCATAAATATGTTCCTGAGGACCATTTGATAAATAATCGAAGGCTATTTTACACAATGCTATTACATCTTGAGGTTCACACACTTTCAGCGGCTCCAAGTGTGATTTTTGCAAGTTTTTTATAACAAATGGCATGCTTAGGAGAAGGTAATTCTGTAGTTCTTCAACAAAATAGGTGTTCCTATACACTCCACTTTTGTAACCCAAGTGAAGTAGTTTTTTTTTATATGCAAATAAATGTAAACAAAGTGACCGTCTGTGGCAGACTTCACAGCCGTGCGAGTTTGACAGTTGACGGCAAAGACATGCCGGTGGATGTCACAAGTTCTGTGCCGCCAAAACGTTTCGCCTGTAACGGCTAATATATAATACATTTCCAATCTTTTTATAACTAAGAAGTTTCTTTTGTGATCTACCCTCTTGCATGTCCCACCTCCCACACTTCAAATAAAAATCCTATTTTTCTTAAATATCTTTTAATAAAGCTGCCGGCCCAAAGAATAAATTGTAACAGAGCCGTTGGCAAACATCTTTACGCCGTCATTGCCAAAAATTCCGTGCCAAGCCCAAAAGTTCTAAAGCAAAATTTACATAAATTCTTCAAGAGAAAAAAACAACAAAATCCTAATTAAATAAAACAACAAAACAATGGACCTTGATAGTCCTGATGTGGAAAAAGAATTTCCTGGCCTATATGCGTCTGACGGAACAGAAGGAGGCAAGTCAAGGAAAATTAAAGACGAAAGTGACTGTAAGTACTTCGTTTAGCTTCTCACGCCTGGAATTCTCAGAATCAAATTGATGTTGTTTTTAATTATTGAATAGACAGCGAAGGTGATCACGACAAGGTAAGTAAGAAGGACCTGCTTATTGGTCGCCGCAAGGATAAAAAGGATAAAAGCAAAGATAGAGGATATGCTGCTCTAGAGGGAGAAAGTTCACCCGAAGAGGAATTAGATGCAAAGTAAACGTCTATACAATATAATTTTAACGGTACAATCAAATATACATGGGTTCTATAATTGTATTTCAATTTCAGAAGTCCATCTAAATCGAAGAAATCGAAAACCTTCAAATTCACCACCTCAAAGAGTAAAGACAAAAGGGAAAAGTCCCGAGATAAGGAAAAACTAGACAAAGACCATAAGGAGGATGACAAGCAAAAGGATAAAATAGATAAGGACAAGCATGCGGATAAGGACAAGGAAAAGGAGCACAAGAAAAAAGACAAAGATAAGAAGGATAAAAAGGAGAAATCCAAAGATAAAGAAAAGGATAAGGAGCGCAAGGACAAGAAAGAAAAGGTGAAACAGCAGTCGAGTATTAATTCGGAAGAGGTATTGGAATTGTGTTCTCCGGTCTTTGGAGTATCTGTTAGTTTAGCCACCGAGCGTAGTCGTTGTCATGATGGTCTGGATTTGCCATTGGTAGTGCGTGATTGTATAGACTATTTACAGGAGAATGGCTTGAAAAATGAACAAATCTATAGGGTGGAGCCTGCTAAAACTCGTCTACAGCATTTCAAGAGGTTATACAATAATCGTGAGAGACTCACTGAATCTGATGAGTTGGATGTGGCGACTGCGTGTGGCCTATTGAAATTGTTTTTAAGGTAAGATATTTTATAATTAAGAAGAAACTATGAATTTAAATTGTGTTTTTTGCAGAGAATTACCGGAACCAGTTTTAACAACAGAACTCATAACAAGATTTGAAGAGGTGGCCTCCCATCCCAAGGTCACTAAACAACAAGAAGAGATAATATTGCTATTGGAACAATTGCCAAAATGTAACAAAATATTATTGTCCTGGCTGCTGTTGCATTTTGATTCAGTTATTCAGCATGAAAAGAGTAACAAATTAAATGCCCAGTCCTTGGCCATGTTGCTGAGCCCCCCACTGCAAATGTCGCATCGTCTTTTAGTGACATTGCTTTGCTATTGTCCCACCCTGTTTCCGGATGTTAAACTTGTCAAGTAAGTGCATAATGAAATATTTTGAAAATAGCATCGGAATTATATATAAAAAAATTGTTACAAGACAGTTTAAATATACTTGTACATTAATAAACTTAGCTTCTTTAATTAATTAATCCATCACTTGGGCTATTGAACTATGAGAACGTAAACGGCTGTTTTAATAATAAGTCATTCATAAAAACTTTAAAGCGTTAAATTGCAGTCGTCATTTAACGTCTGTTAAATGAACGCATTAAGGTGAAATAATAATGGAATGTTTAACTAATAAAAGCAGACATTACTCAAACTGACACACTGTTGCTTTTTCCCTAATCACCTATATTTTGATGATGATAAACATGATGTTGTTTATAAGATAAACTCATGAGTAGATAAGAAAAAAAAATGACGATGCTAGTCTAGTTTATAATTGTACTCAAAATGAAGAAAATCGAAAAGCAATTGCGTTTTGCGGGAATTGTTAATTTTTTAGTAAAGTAAATTAATAGCAATTTCTATTGTTAGGAAAATAATCATTTCAAAAATTCTTCTATTTTTCAGATACGTTCCACCTATAACATCATCCAGTCCGAAATTACCAGAAACACCCGAGGAAATACAAAAGGAATTATGCAAACAAGAAAGTTTATTAAATCAAATACATTCCGAAATGAATGCTGGTTATGTTACCAAGAAACGTGAGGAGCAGTTGTGGGAAGTGCAGCGTATTATAACGCAGTTAAAGAGAAAATTGAAAACCTTTGAAAGGGGTAAAAGTGAAAAGTCTATAGATGAGGTTGAGGGCAATGATGATACTGTAGATTCCGCACCCAAAACACATACTACAACAAATAAATCCACATTGAATAAATTTGAATCAGATTCAAGCCGAGTACAGAAGTCAATTGCCGAAAATAGTATATCTCCCAAAAATATTAAAGATTTGAATGATGCCACCAGTAAAAAGAATGAGGAATATATTTCGGTGGCACCCCCTCCATCATCAAATCAAACAGATATCATGTATATGGATGAAGAAACTGGTTTGCTGATGGTATCAAAATCCCATCCTGATTATGCTACATTATTGAGGTTACAATTGGAAAATCAAGAATTATTGGCATGGAAGTCACAATTGCAGGCCCGAATAAGTGCCGAAAGAGCTGAAATGTTGCAATTGAAGCACTTACTGCAACAACAAATGAAAAACAAAGTTCCGCCAAACTCTGCAACCAACCAGGAGAATATAATTTCACCTTTACCCGGCACCGAAGACTACGAACGCATTGTTGAACATTTCATGCGTGAAAATGCCCTGCTGGAGAATAAAAAATTAATGTTGGCTAAGGAAATTTTCGAAGAAAATAAACAATGTATTGCTTTGCAAGTTGAACTGGCAATGCAAAAATTTTCCATTTAATTCATGTTAGCTTAAAATCATTCATCTAAAATACTCAAACATGACACAAATATCATATACACATACTAACAAATGACAAACATTCATAACTGTATGACCATAAATGTCTATTTAATCTAACCACTGAACAAATAGTAAATTGTTGATCAAATGCTAAAAGCTTAATAAATAATTACAGATGTAAAACAAAATCTTTGTTTTCACCTTCAGAATTTATTGTATTATCAAAATGAAAATATCATTGCAGAATTGTATAGCAAGATTAGGGTTTAAATTATCCTATATAAAAAACCCAGGCTGCCTATTGTATTAAAAAAAAAAAACAAATAAGCCAATATGAATAATTTCCAACCCCTATTATTATTTAATTAGAAAACGGCGCGTTTTATTTTTATACAAAATATGTATTTATTAATTACATACTCGTTTATATATAACAGTCGTTTCCTTAATACCTTTACCAAAATACTTACATATGGATTAATTCATAGCTCGTACAACGTACCATTACCAATCTTCAGAATAATTCGGTATACAATGAGAATGGCATTCCTTAGTAATCGAATCGTTTCATTTATGGTTGGACCCAGCCCCCAAATTGTCGTTCGAGCTCTTCAGCCACAGCAATACACAAACGATCATTCATATCGTTTGCAACCACTTGGATACCCAACGGCATACCATTCGAATCCAATCCCATCGGCACTTGGGTTACTGGTGTTTGCAATACATTGAATATTGAGAAATAACTGAAATCGAGGATCTTAACCAACGGGTAATAATGGAATGGTGCTGTACGTGGAGAACTGTGATAGAACAAAACGCCATCATCCCCCAAGAGATCTTGTAGAGCCTTCTTAAGCTCCTGTGTTGCGGCACGTATCATTTCCTCTTTCTCCTTGGGCAAAATGCTATCGATTAGAGAAAAGATCGCTGCCATCGTAAATTCACTTTGACCAATTAACTTCTTAAAAAGCTCAACAAATGGATTGAGATCGGCGCCATTGCCCAAAAGCTTATTGAAATTAGCTGGTTCTTGGGTCATCCAATATCTCCACATTTTACTGGTAATTTCCAGATGGGGTAGAACTGCCAATTGGACCTCAGTACCGGTGATATTTTGGAAATGTTTACGTATTTTATACATAACCATTTGCGTTTCACGATTAACGGGATTACACTGCTTCATGTTGTTGGTGGGCACATAGAAGAAGCGCAGTTTCTTCAAATCAACAGGTTTCGACAATTGCAACTTTTCAGCCATAACAGGACCGGTCAACACCTTTAAGATGGGCATTAAATCTTTGGCATATCTTGACATGGGTCCAGCAGCAACCATGGTGTGCTCCTCCTTGCCAGTACGGAAGGTGCAACCACGCATATTTACCACATTTCGTGTAGGTTTGTGTCCAAAGATACCACAATTGAATGCAGGTATGCGTATAGATCCTCCAATGTCGGTGCCAAGACCAAAAGCTGTAGAACACGATGCAATCAGTGCACCCTCACCACCACTGGAACCGCCTACGGAACGTCTTAAATCATAGGGATTATTCGTTTGACCAATAACATTGTTTCTTGTCTCTATCCATTTATTGACTTCAGGAACGCTGCTGGTGGCAATAATAATGGCTCCACTTTCCTTCATTAGTTTTACACATTCTGCATCTTCAGGAGCTCGTTCGTTCTTGCGGGACACCAATCCCAACGTGTGTAGTTTCCCAGCCACAGCTGTACTGTCCTTAGTTGTAAAGGGTACACCCAAGAATGGTTTCGCTTGCAATTCCTCTTCGGTGAATTCGCCATTATCCAATTTACGATCAATTTCTTCGGCCTCTTTCAAAGCTTCGACCGTGAATGGTCCATCGATGACAGCATTAAGTTGTGAAATGCCTACCGTCTTCATACGATCACAGTACACTTTCACAACATCGTATGCTTTGAGTTTCCGCTGACGAATTAAGGTCGCCAACTCAACAGCACTTTTCGTAACAACTGGTTTTTCCTGCTCATTTGGTGGACTGCATTCCTTTTTGGGTCCTAAATACCAACCCAAAATGAATTCCAACAGGAAATCCGTCACAATGTGTACAATGTTTAGTAGAGTGACGACTATTTTATTTTCCGTGGCCATTTTTTAGTTCGGCGGACTGACTATTTGTTACGTTGGACGAACTTTGCTCTTCTGACCGATCGAAAAAATCAATTCAATGATGATTATGATGACAAACCAAATAAACAAAGAAATGAAGAGATAATTAGGCCACTCAAAGATATTGGAAGCTCTCACATACCGGCGTTAATTAATGGATTCTCTCTTTTTCATTTGTTAAACGCCAAACAGGTGTCTTCACAGGTAGATCCATGGCCATGGTCAGATGATTTCACTCGAGCTGTCAAAATGGCTTTCAATTTTGACTTAATCGTAGGAAAACGTAAACAACAGATTTGACAGTAGCTGTGTCTGGTTACATTAACATTTAAGGGGAAAACAAATACAAGGATTCAGACACGGCATTGTAAAGTTGGCATTGAATGAAATGTCAATTTATGAAAGAATGTCAGAATAAAACCTGAATGTGGACGCCTTTCCCCTTTATTCTTTTATAATAAAACCATCCATATGATGGAGTGGAGGGGGAAACATGTACGAGGATTCAGGCCTGCCCTGATAAGGCTACGTTTAGACTACTAAATTCACTCCATCTTAAATGTCAATTACATTGTGTATACGTCACGTTAATAATAAAAGTCAATTTGACAGAGTCAAACTTGAATTTGAACGCCGTTCTCCTTTATTCTTTTACAATAAAAGAAACCAACTTAACACGCCAAGCCTGAAAGTCCCCTTATGGGCATTCCCCTTTATAAAAGCCTGTAATATTAGGCATTGTAGTGCGGATAACCAAGTAAATTTCCATGACTCTCTTTTCTAAACAGAGACAGGCGTCAAACAGGTGTCTCCAAAGTCACGTCATGTTATCATTTCTATGTTCCGGTAAATATCGTGACATGTTATCATTTTCCGGTGAGTACTATTTTTCGTACATTCTCCGTTACACGTTGCCAAACATACCATCTCTATTGCCAATCCATTCAACGCCGATAAGAATTTGTTTTTTGCAAATATCAAGACCTCGGCAAGTGTAGGCAGTCAAGTTCAGGCAGACGTTGGAAATTATTTGCAGCACAGCAGCGGGAGTTTCATTCTAATAAAAATCAAAATGTTGAAGCAAGCTACCAAACAATTGGCTATCCAATCCATGAGGAGTTTCTCCACCTCCAGACAGGTGAGAAAAAAAAATAATAATAACCAAATTCGCGATGTTGCATGCTTGGTCATCAAGTATCAAAGGGGGGAAGATGATTTGATATTAAGATGACATTGCGGGCATTCAGCAGGCAGCAGCGCGCATATATTGTAATACAATGTGAATGCATGTTTACGTAATTTTCAGTTAATGCATAAAACAAATATCTGGAAATTATTTGTTGTAATTTTACTCGCCAGATGGAGATTAATTATTTATTTTTTATTTCCTTTTCGCACAGAACAACTATAAGGTTACTGTCTGTGGTGCCTCTGGTGGTATTGGTCAACCCTTGTCATTGCTTTTGAAGCAAAATCCTTTGGTTACCTCCTTGTCTCTCTACGACATTGTCCACACTCCCGGTGTTGCTGCTGATTTGTCTCACATCGATACCAAGAGCAGCACTCATGGTTATATTGGTGCTGACCAATTGGGTGATGCCCTGAAGGGTAAGTGTGACCTTTTTTACATTTTACAACAATTTGAATACATCTGTTCTTCTTTTGCATTGAAATAAAACAGAGTGAAATTAATTGTATTAGAAATATCAGGTTGTTTGATGATTGTGAGGTTATGGCTCTATAAAAAATATATTCCGTATAAAAAAAGATAAAACTATTGTTACGTGTGGTGGCTAAAATGATAGCGTTGATGACGTTTTTTGCGCGCATTGGACATCGTGATAAACAATTGTAGTTGTTATTTGAAATCATTATTTGTTCGATATTACAACATTGTAGTGTTACCATTTTTGGATTGTGACGTTTCGAAAAGTGACTTGAGAGATTTGCCTATCTTATCTTTTTGAAAACAAAAATATATATAACTAATCCAAAGATTGTTAAATGGCTTACCAAGCACTTTGAACCTTCTAGAAATGCAGCACATAATCATTGGAATTGATTCCAAAATTTAATTCATAATCTTTGCAGATTTAATTGTCATAAATGTTTGTTGACATTTTTGTTTATACCAATGTGACATTTTTTTTTTATTATATCAAATTTAATTTTTTTTCTTTTTGCATATTATTATGTTATCGACATGGAATCACGTGGATTTTTCCAAGTCATAAATTTGCATGTGAATTTAGTGCTACAAATTAAAAGTTTATTTTGGGAAAATAGGAATAGTAGTTAATAAATGTTATTAAAATATTTATTAATAATATATACAAAATTATTTTATTCCATTCTCTATATGAAAAAATTGAGCATTGGTTGTGGACACTGGAAAACTTGAAAGGATTTAAATTTTAATTATAAGGAAATATTATTGGCATTAAGTTATGTTTAAGTCTGGAGGTCGAGGTCCTGATTATCTCTTATTTTAAATAAATAGTTCGATGACTTTATTTATAAAGAATATTAAATTTATTTAAATTTTTACTAATTTGGAGCCAATATCCTTTCCAAAGAAGACAACAAATGTCAGCATAACTGGAAAACTTCTATTATTCTGTTGTACTATGTTTTAAAATTGAAGAAAATATTCCTATCATTATAAATATAATTATAGTAAAATATGTATGTTTTAAAATTGAATAAAATATCCCTTTCATTATCTGGGATAGGTGAGATTAGTAATATCATTCTTGGTCTAGATTTTTTTAAAATCCTTGTTTTTATACGAGCATTACATTTCCAATATATTGGAATTTTATTTTACATTTCATACACCTCTAATCTGATCAATCAACATTTTATGCATCTCAGTATTACTTTTGCATGACAACACGAGGTCAAACCTCCCCTCCAATCGAATGCAAATAATAACAATAAAAATAATTGCAATATTTTTCATCATTGAGATTGCATTTGTTTTAAATACAAAACAACAACAGCAACAGAGTTTAAAGATTATCAATAGGAGATGAATTAAAAAATAAATAAATTAACAGGAAAATGAAAAGACACTATTAAATATACAATAAAAAACAGAATATTGACCATTTATAAAGATTTGATTCATTTTAGATAAGATAAACCATACCACATGCGCCACCATTAGAAACAGTAGTTCCCTTGCTTATCACATGGAGAGAATTTTATTTATGTAATAAATTCGAGAATATCAATATTTAATGCAATTGTTGTTGTTTGTTTCTTTTTTTAGGCGCTGATGTTGTTGTCATTCCTGCCGGTGTACCACGTAAGCCTGGCATGACCCGTGATGATCTTTTCAATGTCAATGCCGGTATTATTAAGGATATTGCCGCCACCATTGCCAAGCAATGCCCCAAGGCCATGGTTGCCATCATTACCAACCCAGTCAACACCTGTGTGCCAATTGCTGCCGAAATTTTGAAGAAGGTAAGTCACGGATTTTTGATTTGAAATTAAATTCTTTATAAAATTTTGTCTGTGAATGATTTCAGGCAGGTGTCTATGATCCCAAGCGCTTGTTTGGTGTTTCCACTTTGGATGTTGTACGTGCTCGTGCCTTCATTGGCGAAGCCTTGGGTGTTGATCCCCAAAATGTAAACATCCCCGTCATTGGTGGTCACTCCGGTGTTACCATTATGCCAATTTTGTCTCAATGCCAACCCGCTTTCAAGGGTAGCGCTGACACTATCGACAAATTGACCAAGCGTATCCAAGAAGCCGGTACCGAGGTAGTCAAGGCCAAGGCTGGCGCTGGTTCTGCCACCTTGTCCATGGCCTATGCTGGTGCTCGCTTCGCCGGCTCTTTGCTCAAGGGTTTGGATGGCCAAAAGAACGTTGTCGAATGCTCCTATGTACAATCCACTGTTACTGAAGCTGCCTTCTTTGCCACTCCCTTGGTTTTGGGCAAGAACGGTATTGAAGAAAACTTGGGCTTGCCCAAATTGAACGATTATGAGAAGAAATTGTTGGAAGCTGCCATTCCTGAACTCAAGAAGAACATTCAAAAGGGTGTTGATTTTGCTAATGCCTAAATTTCTGTAATACCAACCATCATGCATTAACAAAAAGCGTTTATCTTTCATCTCCTCCTCTACCACCCCACCCACATCGTTCGATGTCTATTGGCAGGAAAAGTGTAGAGATTAGAATAATTTATATAATTTCAACAAAGCATTATGGCATAATACAATAAAAACAAACATACATACATATGTGAAAATGTTTCCAAAGATATTATCTCAATAATAGAATAATATGCGAAATAAAAAATACACACGAGCCTAGAGAAATTAATCATCGGGAAAATAAAAACAAATTACAAAATAATTATGAAGTTTTTTTATTTATATATGTATGTAGGTATATAATTGATTTGTTGTAAATATTTACTTGCGTTTAGTGTGTTCGTTGACGTAGTTGGCTGGAACTTAAAAAAAAGCTTTTTTAGTTATGGGTTGTGTGCTTTTAGCAAGTGCAAACAACAAAAGAAACAAGTTTGACGTTTAGTTGTTGATATTGCCACTAGATGGCGCTGCTATACGTTTAATGAAAATATTTTAAATTCAAATAATCATTAATGCTTTAGATCAATAATTTTTGTCTTAATGAAATTACAAATTAATAAAATATCAGACACATAAAACAATTACAAAAGTGTTCATTAAATTATAGTGTGTGATATTAAAAATTACTACTAAAAATTATGTTACTATATTTATTTAAAAATTTTAAAATAATTATCAACAGCTGTATCTTCTTAGTGCTTATTTGTAAGTGATTCACTAAAGCCACATTTCCCTGACGTATTTCTATCAATTAACTAAATGCCTCCGTATAATTAAAAATGTTCATGGATTTCCCCGTGATAAAGAAATGTAAACAATAAATAAACACCACTTTGGGGAAAAAATGCCGGCCGGCCGGCTTTTTTCACATTTTAATGAATGTAAATTTAATTTTCTATGCAAACAATTTCATTCTAGACAGAATCATCATTGTTTGTGATTCCATGTTTAAATTGAGTGTAGTATTCAATATAATCAACATATCATAATCAACTTTAATAATCATAAACTAACCAAGCGCAACTGTCCGACCAACCGGCAATCAACCATCCAAGCGTCCATTCATTCATTCATTGATGATGGCCAGACAAATAACCATTTTAGTCCAGGCTGTCTACCGCAAAAACCAATCACTGGATGGATCATCATCAGCTTCGTCGTCATCATCATATACCAAACGGCCTTGCACAATTTCATTTAATTACCGACAATTGAAATCATCATCATCAGCATCGAAAGAAAGCAAAACAAATCAAAAGTAAATTTTCTTAATTGCTTGTTTATAATTCCTTCAGAATGAAATTTAATTATTGAAAGGCGATTTGATTTAACAATATAATATAATAACAATCATAAATAAATGAATTGTTTGTTTGTTTAGTTGGGGGTGTGTTAAATGTATAGTAACAATGTGTGTGTTATCGATTATATGATATATTGGATAGTTTAAAGGATAGCAAGATGTAGTTATTTCATAGATGAAAATTCAATTATATTTATATTGATGTGAACTGTGATTATTTGGAATTATTTTTTTTTAATGAAAATTGTATTTAGATTAAATTTCTTTGTAGGCGATATATTAAAATTCTGTATACCGATTACTTGCTCTCTTTTACTGGATTTTTGGGTAAAGAGACCACTTGTTACCAAATATCGAGTAAACAGACACAGCTAATGTGAAAGATTAAAGCAGAACGGCGTCCAAAATTCAGTTTGACTCTGATATACCTTTATAAATTCACATTTCATACAATGCCAACTTAATATGTCATGCTTGAATCCTCGTATGTGTATCCTTCCCCCTTTATTAAAATATCCGGGCTTAATAGCATATTGGTCCTTTAAAAAATATTCTTTAAAAATGCAAGCTTTACTGCTCCTTTAAAAAAATTTCATAAAAACTCAACGCTTAATGGCATATTAGCCGCTGAAAAAATATTCTTTAAAAACCTCGACTATTGGACTATTGTTGCTTGAAAAATTTTTCTTTACAAATCGAATCTCATTGGACGACTGATCCCTGAAAAAATAATCTTTAAAAATCCACTCTTTTTGGGCTATTAGTACTTGAAAAATATTCTTTAAAAATTCACGCATATCGGCCGACTAGTCATTGCAAATGTTTTCTTTAAAAATCCTCGATTGTTGGACTATTGGTCCTTGGGAAAATATTCTTTAAAAGTCGAATCTCATTAAAAAATATTCTTAAAAATCCACTCTAATTGGATTATTGGTGCTTGAAAATATTCATTAAAAATCCACGCATATCGGCCGACAGTTCCTTGGAAATATTTTCCTTAAAAATACACGCTTATTGTCCTACTGGTTCTTGAAAAAAAAAGTTCTTTGCAAATCCTCGATTATTTGACTATTGGTCCTTAGAAAAAATATTCTTTAAATATTGTTGTCTAAAATTTCACTCTTATTGGAGTATTGGTGCTTAAAAAAATATTGGTCCTTGGCAATATTTTCTTTAAAAATATCGGCTTACTGGCCCATGGAACACTTTTCTTTAAAAATCCACGCTTATTTGTTTACGTGTTCTTCGTAAGGAATTCTTTAAAAATATTGGCCTACTGGACATTAAAAAAATATTCTTTAAAAAATCCACGATTATTGGACTATTGGTCCCTGAAAAATATTCTTTAAAACTCCACTCTATGGGAAAACATTCTATACTTAGGAAAATATTCTTTTAATATATACGCTTACTGAAATGCATGCCCTTGAAAAGAAATCTTAAAAAATCCGACCTTATTAGTCTATTGGTCCCTCAAAAAATTAAAAAAAGGATGCTTATTGGTATTCTGATCCTTGAAAACATATAAAAAATATTCTTTAAAAGCTCGCGGTTATTAGTCTACTGGTTCTTGAAAAATATATTCTTAAAAAATATTCCTTTATATTTTTTAAAACACTCACGCTTATTGGACTATTGTTCTTTGAATAAAAAAATGTAATTTAAAAATCCACATTTATTGAACTATTAGTATATTTTGGTTCTCTTAAGAAAATTTTCTTTAAAACCTCTCGCGTTTTCTCAGAAAATAGTTTTAATTTTTTTTCAGAGGCTGGGAAGCTATCTGAGCGTAATCTTTTACAAATTTACACACTTGTTGATTCGCCTGAAATAATCAATGCATTCTATTTCTAAATGAATTATTTTTGTTATTGTCCAATTGTGGGAATATTGATTTCAATTTACTGCATAGACGACCAACAGTGTGTGTGCGAGTTTGAGTGTGGCATAATAAATATTGGGGTATACCCCAGATGGCTGACTAATAAATGCCGTGGAAAGCATTGTGTCAATGAATATCATTTTAAATATAATTACAACAAAATAATATGTCAGCTTCTAGTCATTTCATGAATTAAAATGAGTCCAGAGTATGGTCTCCATACCGATGTTAGGTTAGGTTCTATCGTTGAAAAGATGGGGTTGGATTGAAATGGATTGTCCTTTGTTGTAATATACTTTCGAAGGGAATACGCATTTTTGAGATTACAGTTTTTTTTTTTAATTTTCCTAGAGTCAATATAAGTATTTAGTGGACACCAAACCCCTAGAAAGTATTTTGTAAACATTTTTTTGAAAGAATTTTTGTTGTAACCACGATAGATATTCATTATTTTTTGGCTCTTTTCAATATCAGAAAACCAAAATTTCAAAACAAGACAATAAAAATAAAAATCCATAAAAACCAAAACGAATTCCAAACATTGTATTCAGTCTACGACTACGACTTGTTGTTGACAACGACGATGATGATGATGTACCCTCCATACGACGACATACCGTCAGATATGCGGGACATATTTTTAAATTGATTTTAATGAATCTTAATTGATTGCAACTGTAGTAGTAGGTATTACAAATGCTACTTGATACACATTTAGACACACACATTCACACAAATATCATTATATATGCATATATTTATATCATGGGTGAGTTTGTAGATGTTTGATGCATCTATGAATGTCCATAGTACACCACCAACAACCAACCACCTCCTCAAAAGTCGCAGAAGTAAAGTTGTTTTTCCTGGTTCTCGAGAAAAATAACTAAACATAGTGAACATACAAATGTACTGATATATTATTGCACTTTGGGAAAATTGTGATTTGATTTTTCAGAATGAATTCATTTAAATTTTATTGTAAAGCTGAGAAATTTTAATGGGGAAGACTTGATACGGTTTCGTATAGAACAACTAAAAGTTTTTATTATTGAAGATATTCCATTAAGGAGATGACATATATTCGCTATACGAATTAAATGGTCTCCTTATACAGGATATTCAAGGTCTGTTTTAGAAGAGTTGAAAGATGTCCTTATAAGACGCCAGATGAAAGGCTTCCACGCTTATTGGCCTACTGGTCCCTGGAAAAATATTTATAAAAAATCCACGCTTATTTGCCTACTGGTCCCTGGAAAAAAATTCATAAAAATCCACGCTTATTGGCCCACAGGTCTTTGACAAAATATTCTTTAAAAATCCACGCTTATCGGCCTACTGGTCCATGGAAAAAATATTCAAAAAAATCTATGCTTATTGGCCCACAGGTCTTTGACAAAATATTCTTTAAAAATCCACGCTTATCGGCCTACTGGTCCATGGAAAAATATTCATAAAAAATCCATGCTTATTGGCCCACAGGTCTTTGACAAAATATTCTTTAAAAATCGACGCTTATTGGCCTACAGGTCCTTGAAAAAATATTCTTTAAAAATCCACGCTTAAAAATCCAAGCTTATTGGCCAAATGGTTCTTGAAAAAATATTCTTTAAAAATCCGCTATTATTCGCCTACTGGTCCCTGGAAAAATATTCTTTAAAAATCCACGCTTATTGGCCTTCTGGCCCCGGAAAAATTATTCTTTAAAAATCCACGCTTATCGGTCTACTGGTTCCTAAAAAATATTCTTTAAAAATCCGATATTATTGGCCTTCTGGTTCCTGAAAAAATATTATTTAAATTTATTGGCCT